ATAATCTTCCTAATGTATGTCTGCATTCTGTTTTCAGGTATTTTAGTGGGTATTTTGAGTCTGTGTTCATCAGGTATATTGGCCTGTATTTTTTTTTTTTTTTTTTGTGAAGGGTGTGAAGGGCAGTCTTTACCTGGTTTTGGTATTAGATACTGGCTTCGTAGCAGTTTGGGAGTGCTCCTTCTAGTTCTATTTTTTGAATAGTTGAAGAACAGTTTGCTGTAGTGTTTCAGTGTCTGGTAGAATTCTGCTATGAAACCATCTGGCCCTGGACACTTTTTTTAAAGCTAGAAAGCTCTTTATTACTATTTCAGTCTCCTCATTTCTTATGGGTCCATTTAGGTTGCTGACTTCTTGCTTAATTTTGATGGTTTGACAGAATCTAGAAAATCTTTTAGGTTTTTTTTTTTTTTTTTTTTTTTTTTTTTCTTAATGGAGTACAGGTTTTTTTAAAAAAAATATTCCCTTATAATATTCTGAATATCTTTGGTGTCTGTTGTAATGTTTCCTTATTCATTCCTGATTCTGTTACATTGGATCCCTTTTTCTTTTCTTTTTGGCCGGGTGAGTTAGTTGAGCCATGGATCTGTTCAATTCTTGTTTATGTTGGCAATCAGCTCTTGGATTCAGTGATTCTGTGTTTCTGTTTGATTGATTTCTCTGATTTTTATTATGTCTTGCTGTTGATTGGGTTTTATTTAGTTTGTTCTTTCTCAGGTTTTTGACCTGCATCATTGTCCTTCATTTGTGCTGAAAGGACTTCCTTCACTGTGTCCCAGAGGTTCTGCTGTGTTTCATTTTTATTTAACTCTAGGAAATTTTAGTTCTTTGTCCCGTTTTCAGTCAATGTATTGTTTAATCTCCATGAGTTTGTGTATTTACTGGAGATTTGTTTGCTGTCAGCTTTAAATTTTATTTCATTGTGGTCAAATTGGATACAAGGAGTGATTTCAGTCCTTTGGAATTTGTGAAGATTTGATTTGTTTCCCAGAATACCGTCTATTTTAGCAAAGCTTCAGTGTGCTGCTGAGTATAATCTATATTCATTGGTGTTTGGATAGAATATTTAGATATCTGTTAAGTCTATTTGATGTATGATGTTAATTAAGTCTGATGTTTTTTTTTTCTGTTTTTTTTTTTTAATATAACCTGATAATTGGAAAAAGTGGGTTATTGAAATCCTCTATTTTTTTTTTTTTTTTTTTTGAGACCGGGTTTCTCTGTGTAGCCCTGGCTGTCCTGGAACTCACTCTGCAGACTAGGCTGGCCTCAGATTTACTGAGATCCCCCTGCCTCTGCCCCTGAGTGCTGGGATTAAAGCATGTGCCACCATGGCCCTGCTGAAATCCCCTAATTGTAATACAATAATGTTATTCTGTGTCTTTAAATCCAGTAATCCACTTTTCAAAATAAAATAGCATGCCCCAGAGTTTGGTGCATACATGTTTAGGAGAGCAGTGTCTTCCTGGTTAACTGTCCTTTTTATTAGAATGAAGTGTTCTTCTTTATTTCTTCTGTTTGGTTTTAGTTTAAAGTCTGTTTTGTCAAGTATTAGGGTAGAGATGCCTGGTTGGTTTCTGGTCCCATTTTATTAGAGTACTTTGTCTATCCTTTTACTCTAAGGCAGTGCCTATCTTTAAAGATAAGATGTACTGCTTTTTGTAGACAACAGATAAATGGATTTTGTTTCTTGACCCATTCAGTCTGCCTGTCTTTTGATTAGAGAATTGAGGTCACTGCTATTTAGTTATTATTGAAATGTATTTGTTAATTACAGTCATCATGTTGACTTTTGGTGCTTATGTTCTTGGTGGTACTTTGTATTTCAGTAATTACAGCTTCATATTTTTTCTCATAGTCTCTGCTATGCTCATCTCTCTCTTCAGCTGAAATTATTACTGTCTGTATTTTCCTTGTTTTTTGGGGGGGGTCATATATATTTTTTATGCTGCTTTTATTGTGGAAAGTTTTTCTTCCTCCTTCAATCATGGCGGATAGTTTTGTTGTATATGTTATTCTGGGCTGGCTGACTTGAAATGCATTGCTTTAGGCTCTTCTGGCTTTCAAAAATTCCTTTGAGAAATCAGTTGTTATTCTTATGGTTTTTTGTTTACATGTCATTTGCATTTTTTTTCTTGCAGCTTTTAATTCACTTTCTTTGTATGTGTATATACGTAGTGTTTTAGTTATGCCAGTGTGGAGTTTCTTTTCTGGTCTAGTCTATTTCATTAGATGTTTCTATCCATATGGGTATGATTTTAATTTGGGGAAGTTTTCTTCTGTAATATTATTGATTATCTGGTCTATGCCATTGACTTGAGATTCTTTTTCTTCATGTATGCCTATAATTTGAAGGTTTGGTTATTTCATGGTGTTCCAGTTTTTGTTTTTTTTTTTTTTTTGTTTTTTTGTATTTTTTTTCCTGTGGTTTTTGCTTTTTAATTTTTGTGTTTCTTGTCTATTTGATGTAGGTCTTCTACTCTGTGTCCGATAGCCTATCTTCTGCTTGATTCTTTCTACTTGTAAGGTTTTTCTTTGGGTTTTAGTTTTAATACTGCGATTTTCATTTCAGCTTGAGTCTTTAATGTTTCTATCTTTTTACTGAGTCCATTCTCAAGTCCTGGATTATCTTCATTTCCTTCAGCTTTATGTTTGTGCTCTCTTGGGCATTACTTAGGAATTTTATTTTTCTTAAGTTCTGTTTCCTTAATTTTATTGCGATGTCTCTTTGTGTCTTCTTTAAACGTCTTGAATTCTTGATGAAGTTTATAATTCTTTAAATTCTATGTGTTGAGTTCATTTAGGTGACTTTATTGGCAAACATTTCTACCAAACTGGTAAGATTTGGAGAGGAGATACCGGCTTGATCTTTCATATTGTTTGTATTTTTCTGATGAGATCTGGGCATGTGGACTTATTCTGTTAGTTCTGGGTCTGATATGGACAGCAGGCTGGGGCAGAAGAGAGGGTGTGGTGATGGGCTAGGCCTAAAGGTGGGCATGGCTTGGCTGGAATGAAGGGGGTGGATGGGGTCGGTGTAGAGGATGCACACCTGGTCTGAGCCTGGAGTGTGGGCAGTGGCTCAGGCTGGTGCAAAGGCCGGTTTGCATTGGAGCAATCTGGGTGATGGGTAGGTAGAGAATGTGCTGGCAGAAGCTGAAGCCGGGACATCAGGTGTGGGGCCTGGGAAGTATCTGGGGGATTGGGGAGAGGGTTGGTGGGTAAGACTAGAGAGGCCTATTGGCCTAGACCCTGGAGAAGGCAGTGGGAGGTCTGGGCACGTGGTGGAGCTGGAGTTCCAGCAGGACCATTTTTGGTCTTTGTTTCTTCTCTGCTCCATATTTCTTTAATTTCCATTTAGCATAGATAATAGATAGGTTATACTGTCGTGTGCAAATTAATTAAACAGTTTGTTAGATATATGAGTCTAAATAAATTGTTCATTGTAAGATTAAGATTTGTATTTAATTATTCCAGTATTTTTTCCATTAAAAATTGAAGATAAATTTGAATTTGATATAACTGTTAAAAAATAAACTTTGCAATTTGAGGAAAATAAAAAAATTAAATTTTTCATTTTTTTTTTCTCCATAGCTTTAAGCCTGACAGTTCAGTTGAATTGTCATCTTACAGAATATGAATCTTAAAAAATATTGTACAGTGTTTTAGGATTAAAACACTACTGATTATTAAAACTAGGACCTAACACATATTAAAGTATGTCCTGCCAGTGACTTACATGTGTAGCCTGTGCACAGTCATTTTCCCAGAGCGGTTGTATTAGGAAGATCTGAGGCCAGTGGTATAGGACTGCTTTTGGGCAGGTCTCTTGGTATTTGAATGCTGTTAGTATTATGAAGAAGGAGAGCATGTGCGCTACTCAAGAAAGCCTGGGGTGACACAATTATGTGAGAGGCATACAGAGACAGCACTATATGATGAAGCGCCAAAGAGAAGTACAAAGTGGTCAGCCTTATTAGCACTGCTTTCTGAGTCAGTGGCAGTAAATTCCAGGAGACAACGTGACAGAGGTGGTGTTTGAACTGATCTAAGAACAGTAGAATTGCAAGAATTGACTGAGGCAATCTATGTAGATTGCTTGCCTTAAGGTAAAAACAAAGAAGTAGGCATTTCACTGACAACTCCAAAAAGTAGAAGAAGGGATTGAAAGAAAGTAGGGATTTAAAAATGTAACATAATTAAAACATTTAATAGAGACATAGTATATGCTGTGTATTGTTAAGAGATTAGTGGGCATAGAGGAGAGATGAGGACATTTCATGGATAGGAGCTGAAGGCTTTTTTATTTTTTTAATTTTTAATTTTTTTTTTTTTTTTTTAGTATTAAGGAATCAGTGCCTATTTAAGCAGTGGTGTTTTAGTACCTACTATAGCAATAATTAACTTAATAATGACTGTGATAGCAGTCATCTTTAGGGCTTCATGTGACACCTCTGTGAAGACTGATTAACATGAAAAGGCCGAGGCCGGAGAAGTCAAATGACGTGTCCAAGATCACAAATGGAGATATGATATAAACTGAGCAGTTAGCTCCTAAACTTAATTAACTCAGGAAATAAATCTAACAGTAGTATGAAAGATCCTTGGAAAATCCCCAAGAATTATTCTTTGGGATTGAATAATTATTGCTTTGTGTCTGTCTGACTTTGTTGATAATTTAGAAACTTGAGAATGGGCCAGAGTGTAAAATTTGTTGTGGGATTTTTGGAACTTGATGCTTCTTTATACTTTAGCTTTTGAATGGTTGAGGCTTGAGGTTATCACCTTATGGCCCTTATATTTTTCATGCCCAGAAGCTTAAAATGCAAAGTACTTTAATGACTATGCTGTCCAGGTAGGAATTTAGATACTACTTTTTTTTTCTCTACCTTAATTTCAGAATTCTAAAATGGAATGAAAATTATTTCAGTTGGTAAAATTAGTTTTAGAAGCTGTAAATGAATAAGGTAATATTTGAAGAAAATTTCTTTTCTTTATAGAATGGCATTCACGTGTTCATTTTGTAAATTTCGCACCTTTGAAGAAAAAGATATTGAACTGCATCTGGAAAGTTCTTCACACCAGGAAACACTAACTCATATTCAGAAACGAACCAAATTTGACAAAGTAGTTATGGAGTTTTTACATGTAAGTAGGTATTTTTGGAATGAGAAGTATTTTATTCAATATGAATTTATTTTACTTTTTATAATTGCTCTCTTACCTGCTTGTGTTTCTAGAAAATTGATAATTATTTAAGCAAACTTTTTAAAGTTAATTAGATATGAACTTTATATTAGAATTTGGGTTTTTAACTTGAGAAATAAGTTCTCATTTCTCATAGAGAAAGTTGTCAGAGTTCTTTAGCTACCGTTGACTCAGATTTACCTGTCGCTCCCGCAGAGTCCACCGTGCGCCTGAAGTATGCTGGGCACACTAGCTCTTCACTCTAGATGAGCCTCTGTATAGCTCATGGCTCCAAGTGATGACTGAAAGCCCGTATCTGTAGAGGCTAGGTGACCTTGTCATGAGCCAGCAGAGTGAGAATTCAGAGCCAGGGAGACTGGCGTCTGTTTGGTGTCTTTGTGTTGTCCCCGTGGCTGTCAGTTTAATAGATTACCCTCAAGACCATGAGCATTACTCGTAATGAGCCAGCTATAATTGGAAGTAAAAGATGTCCAGAGGTGTGGAGATAGAGATACCAAGTGTGCAGAAATACTGTTGGGGCTTGAACTAGCAAACAATGCTTTGGATCAGAAGTGTTTAAGAGAGGAGGCTCAAGATGGACTGATAACTGCACAAAACTAATCTGGGCTGTAGGAGGCTGAAAATGCTGTTCACTCAGACTCTGTGTCCAGCAGAATTGTATCCTGTGATTAAAATTCATTCCTGTAATTTTCCTATAACAGGATGCTATCAGATTCACCCACTTACCTGAGAAGGTCACCCTCTAAAAGCCCAGAAGACACCATGGGAGGGAAGCACTTTCCTAGTGTTTCATGTTAGTCTTTTCAAGTCAGTTGTGGGCTTCTAGTTTCTACAGAGCAGACATACCTGTCAGTGATAGTGTTTCCCGTAGGATGAGCATATAGTAGGTGCTCCTTGGGAACAGTCTGTATTCTCTGTATTTATTTTCTAGGAATGTATGGTGAATAAATTTAAAAAAGCGTCTATTCGTAAGCAACAGACACTTAATCACCCGGAAGCTTATAAAATAATTGAAAAAGACATTATGGAAGGTGAGTATTTAGGCAAGGTCTTTTATAAACTTATGTTGGTATTTTATGTATCATACCTGAAAACCTTGAGACTGATACAGTTCAGTTGTACTTGCTATAGTTCATCAGCTATAGACTTCCTAACTTCTTGTTTCCATGCTTACAAGTTTATTATTGCTTATAGTCTCACCTCTTTCTCTTCAGTACAGAGCACTGGCTCTCAACCTGTGGCTCTCAAATTCTTTGGCAAACGTCTGCCTCCAAAAATATTTATGTTGTGATTCATAATAGTAGCAAAGTTAGAGGTTAGGAATAGCAATGAAATACTTTTATGATTGGGGGTCACCACAACATGAGGGTTACAGCATTAGGAAGGCTGAAAACCTGTTCATTTCTACTTCAGAACTAATTTTGCTACTCTTATGACTTATGACTTATAATGTAAATATCTGAAAGGTAGGATATTTGACATACAGCCCTAGAAGGTCGTGACCCACAGATTGAGAACCACTGCTTTAGAAAAGAGGCACTTACATAATTTGCCTTTCTTAAGTCTCTTTAATTTTATTTTAGAGTTAATTTTTTTTTTTTTTTTTAAATTATATGGGTTGGGAAGTAGTGTTGATGACTGCAGGGCCCAAGGAGGCCAGAAGAGGCCTTCATATCCCCTCGAGCTGGGGATACACAGAACCTCCTGATGTGGGTATCGAATACTAGACTTAGGTCCCCTGCAAGAGCAGTGCTGGTTCTTAATAATACCTCTCTGAAATTCAGGTCATTAACTCTGCTTTTCAGTCTTCTCCTGATTCCCTTGCTGAAGCTTATAGAAGTCTGTTCTTATTTTAAAAAGTGAAAACAAAAGTGTGGTAATTCTACTTATTTGCCTTTTTTTTTTTTTTGAACAACCATTCTGTGGGTAACAGCTCTGCCTCTGGGCATTATATTTTCCTAACCCAGCAGCCATACTTTTTAAGCCTCCTCCACCCTGAGGCCTCCTCTTTCAGCTCTGTTGTTAAACCTAAGAAAGAGCTTTTCTAAACTTACTAGCCTGTTGAGACTGCTCTGACAGAGAGCAGTCCCCTATTTCATTTGGAGAGCCAGTCTTACTGCGTAGACCCTGGCCTGGAACTTGCAGCAGTTCTTCTGCCTCCTGAGTAGTAGGATTACAGTTGTGAGCCACCATGCCCAACCCAAAACGATCCTTTTAGTTTTTGTTTGTTTGTGTTTGTTATTTTTTACTCATCTTCAATAGCATTTCCCATCTACTCCCTTGTTCATGAATATTTTTTTTCCTTGCACCTTACTGACCTAATGTTCTCTTACTCCCCTTGGTCTGTTTTTAGTCATTGTATCTCCTCAGTCATTGTCTTCGTTACTATCTCCTTTTATATCATTCAGGTGAACTCATTTATGTCAGAGTTTAAATTATCATGTGTATGTGAATTACTTATATCTATAGACCTGGTTTAGGCCTGTTTTCTGAAATCTTGTCTCATTCATTCGGTTGCTTGCTGACCTCTTTTCAGTAGTCATAGGAAATGAACATTTCAGGACTGGAGAGAGAGCAGGGCTAAGAGTGTGAACTGTTGCAGAGGACCCTCATTTGGTTCCCAGCACCCATAGCAGGTGGCTCCAGCCGCCTGCAATGCCAGCGCCAGGGAAGGCACCAACACTGTCCACACAGACAGACAGATGCAAATAATTAAAAGATAATAAAGTAAATCTAAATTAAAAAAACATAATAAAAATAAATCTAAATTAAAAAAAAACAGCATATCTTCAAAAGCTGTCATTTCTTTACCATCTTTAATAATTCACAGGGAAACAAAAACTCAAAGTACTTCATTTTTCTTGAGAAACTGCTCTACCATCCACCAAAGATAGAAGTAAGAAGTTATCCAAGGTGCTTTCATTTGTAGCACTATGTCCTATAGTTCTGTTTTTACATGTTGAACAAATCTGTTTCTTTGCCCGTCTTTTAAGTATTGTATTTGGCGGCTGAGGTGGTAACTCAGTGGTTAAGGTACTTGTTAGCCTTGCAGAGGACACAGGTTTGATTCCCAACACCAACATGGTCATTTACAACGTTCATAGAGTCCATTCTAGGGGATCCAGTGCTCTCTGATGACCTCCATGGACACCAAACACACCTAGACATCTGTGTGGACAAACAGTCAAATGTATAAAATAAATCTTAAAAACATACTGCACTTGTTCAAATTCTCTCTTGTTCTCTGAATATTTCATAGTATTTTTCCCGATTAATTTCCTTTCAGTTTTTTCTTTTTTCTTTTTTTGGTTTCTATAGTGTGGTTGCATCAGGAAATTAATTAGTGGTTCTTCATCTTGTACAGTATATGCCTAAAACTCCTAGGCATGGCTACACAGAGCATAGCAACAGAGGCAGGCAGGGTGGCAGACACAGAGAAAGCAAACTGAAAATAGGGTGAGGCTCTAAGTACTGGAGCTGCCTTCGGTGACATACTTCCTTTAACAAGGAGAAGCCTCCCCAGGCGGCACCACTAAGTAGGAACCAGTTGTTGAGATCCACAGCCTACATGGGACGTTCTCACATAAAAACCACAATACTTTGTATGAAGAGCTGGGCAAGCCCTACCAGTGAGCTCTGCAGCCCGAGGTCCAGCTAGAGTTATCATTTTGAAGGTCGAGAATGGAGGGTTTTGTTCCTTAGAGCATCCTTTTTGCTTTTCCTGCCCTCCACATTCATGGTATTGGAATTCTAAATTCTAAATACTAAAAATAACATCCATTTAGCTTTGTGCTCTTTGAGGTGATGGACTAAAAGAGCTCTAAGTGTGGTTGAATAGTCCCTTGAGAGACTGATGTGGGTTGGAGAGCTGGCTCAGTAGTTACAACAATGTGACAATGTATGGCTCTTGCAGAGGGCCTGCAGCGCCCTCCTCAGGTAGCTCGAAGCCGCCTTCAGCTCCACTTCTGGAGGACCAGTCAAAAACAAAATCTGTACATGTAGATATGGGATGTACAGAAGAACTGCAAGAGCCTACATGCTCTGATCCCTTGTTGTAAGAGCACAGACCATGGTGGGAGCTAGGAGGAGCCTGATTTATCGGACTGAGTGTGCGGGCATGTCTTCCCTAAACAAGCTTGTTTGTAGGTGTCACTGCAGATGACCATATGATGAAAGTGGAGACTGTGCACTGTAGCGCCTGCAGCGTGTACATCCCCGCTTTACACAGCTCAGTGCAGCAGCACCTCAAGTCTCCTGACCACAGCAAAGGCAAGCAGGTGAGCCCGAGTCTTCATGCAGCTCTTGGTGTTCACCAGTCTTTATTATTAGCATCAGCCGTTGACTGTTTCACCCATGCTGTCCTGTGCATCTTCACTGCGAACAGCTGCCTGTCTGCCTAGAGTCAGGCATGTCGTAGTTAGGATCGTGAACTCTGGAGCAAGGCTGTCTGGGTTTGAGTCCTGGTTAAAGGAGTTCCTTATCTAACTTGACTTATCTGTAAGTTGAGGCTGGAGTCATGCTATGTGCTTGTTTAAGGGTTCAGTTGGCTGACATGCAGTATCTAATACAGTGGTTTCTATAATGGCAGTCAGCAGTTGTTTGTTTTTAAGTTGTTACAAAATGGTTTTGTATGTGTGTGAAAACAAAAAGAACATGAAATTTTTATCATGACTGGCTTTTTTCTGGTGGTCTGAGAAAACACATTTAAAACTAGCACTAGCATTTGGTGTGTGTCTGTTGGGCTTTTGAATAGGCTATCCCTGAGCAGCTTACTGTCTGCTCATTCATAGAGCGTGTTTCGCTCCCTTATGTTGGGCTTTATCTAGATTGCTTTACTTCAAAAAACATGAGTGCTTATACTGTGGGAAATGTGTTCATTCGTAAAATGGATTTGAAGACCTAAAAATTAATGATTTAAATTTAATATTAAATAGAAGAGACTTGAGTATTAAATTTCTGTTTTGTAATGAAGTAAATTTCACTTGAGACTCCTTTACACACTTTGAGCATGCAGGGAGACACTCTTCCCTGTATTATACTTCTTGTGATAACTTAGAAGTCTTGAAGAAGACTGATTATTTTGGATCATTCTGCGGATAGAGTGAAATGTAGAGTACAAAGGGTAGGAATGTCTAGTAAACCTAGACTTACACTTGGGAGTGCTGTGTTTATTGGCTTACAGAAGCTCATGGTTTCAGTCCATTAATGATTGAGATTACAAGCACATTGGCTACAGCTGTTCATAGCTTAATTTGTTGTAAAAGCCATTTAAGTATAGTGTAAAATATCACTTCATGTCTATAAGCATTCCATGCCATGGCTTTCTCGCACTTACACTGTGTTCTGTTTTCCACAGGCTTACAAGAAACAAATAAAAAGAGAAAGCGTGCTGACTGCTATAAGCATCTTAAATAACCCAATAGTTAAGAAGCGGTATAAACGCTTTGTTAAGGTGAGATTTTGAACAAAAGCTGTTTGGGAAAGTGCTGTATAATTAGGTGGTAGCAGAGTTAGAACCCTAAAGTAAGCACAGGACACAGCGGGAAGAGTTTCACTGCTGTCTTGCTTATAGGCATCACACTGTTTCTGTTACATGGTGGGGTCAGGGAACAGGGGCAGTGATTCTTTTCCCTCCCCTTTCTAGCTCTCAATCAATGAGCGGTGACTAAGAATTAGGGACTCCAGATGTTTTTATTCGCACATATGTGGGTCGCTGGTCAATGCTTTCTGTGACAGTGAGTGTGTAGGCGGCAGCCAGACGGCAGCCCTGAGTGCGGCACCTCAGGAGCTGTCCATTTTGCTTCTGAGACAGGCTCTGTGATTGGCCTGGGCTGGCGTAGTTAGCCAGGCTGGCTGGCCAGCTCTGCCTCCCCGCGTCTGGGCTAACAAGCCTGTGCCACCAGGCCTGGCTTTTACATTTGGGCTCTGAGACTCCCACGGAGTCTGTGTGGCAGGCACTTTAGGACTGAGCTCTTTCACTAGCCCTTAGCTTTGTTTGGGTTTTGCTCTTTAAGGTTGACTTACGTCTTCCGCAGGTGCTGCTTCAGGTATTCCCTCTCTTCATATAGCCCAGATTTCATGCTCTCTCCCAGCTTGCATAGTCTTTACACTACAGAGGTAGAGAGCAACATGACTCTTAGATTTATGGGTGTTCATCTCCTTTGTTACTATTTCTCCTTCATCTGTTTTCTGGCTTTATCATTCTTGCTTCCTTATTCCCATTATCATCATCTTTTCCAAATAGACAGTGCTTACAATTTCCCTAAACCTAGTGACCCGATTTTTCCTGCACTCTTACTCTCCTACTCTCATTTTGTTGTGTTGTTGTTGGGTTTTTTTTGTTGTTATTTTATTTATTTTTTGATTTTTGGTTTTTCGAGACACAGTTTCTCTGTATAGCCTTGGTTGTCCTGGACTCACTCTGTAGACCAGGCTGCCCTCGAACTCACAGCGATCTGCCTGTCTCTGCCTTTCTGAGCACTGGGATTGCAGGCGTGCACCACCACACCGGCCTGACTCTCTCCTTTGCTACCTTTTCTTAACATATTTTGGAAGATAGCTTGGCCTAGTGTTAGGCTCTTTACTTCTTGTTATTTGCTGTAACTGAATAGTTCTCACTTGGAAGAATACAATCAGAATTTTTTTAAAAGGTATGGATGACTAGAAAACTTCCCAGGCCCCTTTAGAGATCCTCTGAATTAATTTTCCAAACCTTTCAGATTAATATATCCTGAACTGCTTCTTATTCTGTTCTCGCTCTCTCTCTCTTCTTCCCTCCTTCCCTCCCAGATGAGGCTTCACTGTGTAGCCCTGGAACTCGCTCTATAGACCAGGCTAGCCTTGAACTCACAGAGATCCTAAGTTAAAAGGCATGCATTACCACGCCCTGCTCCTGAAGTGTTTATTAGGCTTCTTCCTGGCAGTTTTGATTTAGAAGGTCTGAGGTTGATTAGAATTAGTATTTTAAGAAAGAACTTATGATCTGTGAGCTTAATAGGAGATTAATTGTAGAGCCCTGCTCTTGGACAGTTGCTGGTGCTCTAAGGCCCTTGCGTCCTAGTTTATAAACTGCCCTTCAGGTTATCAGTGATCCAGTTGTCACAGCTTGTGCGTTAAAGGTGAACATGCTGGGCATTAGCGCACTTGGTGAGCCACTCGTGTGCAAGGGGAAGGATCTGAGTTTGACTCCCAGAAATGAAGAAAACACCAGGCTTGGGGTGCATGTGTGTTATTTCAGTGTCAGGAGTAAACTGGAGCATCTCTGGGCTCTGCTCAGCTAGCCTGGCCTAATTGGCCTCAAAATCATCTCCTGAGGAGTGATGCCAAAAGTTGTCCTCAGACACATACATATACACCGGAACACATGCACACTCACATGCAAACACGCAAAAGACATGTAAAACTAAATCAAGCCTTCTTCATTCGACTTTGATAATGATGGACTCTAATGACTTTTCTCAATCCTTTTTACTTTTATCTGTTTGATTGTTTGACACGGCTCATTTGTCACTTTTTTCTTTTAAGGTTCTATTTTTGGCAGCTACTGCTCTGTTCTGAGCATCTGTTCTCTCACTCAAGCCCACGTGTAGGCTCCTAGGGTTTTATCTCAGCCCTGACTTCCCCCTGGAGTCTGTCTTAGGCTGTCCCATGAGGGACTCTAGTTCCACTGTCAGCTTAATGCAGCTAATCCATCCACGTAAATACTTTATGTGGGCACCCTTCTGTGAGGTGAAGGTTTACATAAGGCTCACTCAACATTTACACACCTCAAGTTCTGATTGTATACAGCACACACACCCATTTCTCCCTGTTCTAATGTACCTATTCTGTTAGTGATGATCTTATCTCTCCTATTCTCCTCCTCTGTGTCGTTGAGAACTGTCTCCGTTAGTGTTTCCTACCCATTTCTTCCTTATGGAGTGTGAATGCTGGGCTCTGAGCCCATTCTGTATCCTTAAACTGCACAGCCCAGGTGTTTACTCTTACACGTGACCCTTGCTCACCCACCTTGAAGTGTGTCACTGGCCTTAGCAGGTTCTACTTAATAAGCCTCACCACCTCCTTACCTCCCACAGTAACAGTCTTCCAATATGTCCAGTAACGTGAGACTTAATGCAGGTAAAATACAGGGCTGCTGAGGTGGCTTGGCAGATAAAGGCACTTGCCATCAAGCCTGATGACAGAATTCAGTCCTTGGGCTCCGGATGGAGAAAAGAGGCAGCTGCTGCCTATCTGACCCCCACACAAGCATATGCACATGCACACAGGGAAAGTAATGAAAGCAACGGCATTGCGCCTGTGAGTGCTTGCCAACAAGGTTGCTCTAGTTTTTGAAATGTAAGTATGAGATGTGGTGTCTAGTGGCTAAAGCTAGGAGTTTGGCTTTCATTTTCCTAAGGGAACCTGGAACAGAAGCATAGTTAGCAGTTGTGCTATTAAGTAGATCATCCCCAGCAGCTGTTTTGTTTGTATCAGAAACTTTTCTGTTTGTCTCTTATGCATCATTTTAGAAATTCAGTTAAAAATTTTGACTTTTTAAGAACTGTAATTTATGGACTATAAAATAACTAATAAATTATATACTCACATTGGAATGAAGTAGATGCTGAAAAATATTGATTAAATTTGTTACAAGTAAAAAGAACTTCAAATATTTTTTCTGTGATATAGCAAGTATCAGCGATAAAAAAACAGATGTGCTGATTGTAACAGCTGTTTCTCTTGTTTAGGGAGAGAATCCTTTTGAAACTCAAGATTATGCTCAGGATCAGCAGATAGAAGGAGATGAAGATGATGAAGAGAAGATTGACGAACCCATTGAAGAGAAGGAGGATGAGGAGGATGACGATGAAGATGACGATGAGGAGGAAGAGGAGGAGGATGAAGAAGTAGAGGAAGGGGGAGAGGCAGAAGAGGTGGAGGAAGCAGAGGAAGAGGCCGAAGCTGAAGTAGCAGAGGGAGAGGCAGAGGGAGAGGCTGAGGAAGAGGCTGAGGAAGAGGCTGAGGGAGAGGCGGAGGTAGAGGCTGAGGTAGAGGCTGAGGGAGAGGCTGAGGGAGAGGCGGAGGTTGAGGCAGAGGTTGAGGCAGAGGGGGAGACGGAGGTTGAGGTGGAGGAGGAGGCGGATATGCAGGGGGAGGAGGGCACAGCAGCAGCAGGGGAAGGTGAGGCAGAGGGAGAAGCAGAGGCAGCAGGGGATGCGGCAGGAGAGGAGGAGGGCTGAGGGGTGGGAGTAGTCAGACGCAGGCACACGGGCACAGGAGCTTGACCTCCACTGATAGCGTGTGAACTGACACCGTGCTGCATGCGTTCCACATGCTAAAGTTGGTTTTATATAATTTCTAAATGTTTGGCACTTGTTTAATAAAGTAAAGTTAAGGTGATTTCAGCTTAGTTTTTAATAGATACCAAACTTAGATGTGATAAGTTGTTTGTATGATCTTTATTACCTTATTGGTATTCAGGATGCTAGATGTATGTTGTTCCTCTGTTGTAATCATTTGAACTTAAATGCTGCTCTTGGAAGTAAGCCTTAAGAGTGCGTTCAGTTTTTCAATATTTACTCTAGATTGATTGGACAATTGCTCTGTCCTGATGGTGTATTTCTTATTTTCACATGGACTAGCAGTTAGCATTAAGACGGCTTCAAGGCTTTTGTGTACAGTTCCCTTTGTAGCAATAAAATGTTTTCTCTCTTTTTTTTTTTTTTAAACAAAATCTTTTTCCTTTGATTGCAGGTTAAACATTTCACCAATTAAATGAGTATTTAAAAAATCAATATCTGCCTTAATGTATGAGTTTAGCTCACAAGTATTTCAAGTGATTGAGAAGACTTGAATTAAACATTTTTCCTCAATCATATTTTTAAAAAGTGTGACTACTGTATATTTTCTAACACATTTCAGAGGTCAGTCTGTAACTGACCTTGTTTATACTAGCTTTAGTGTGTTCTTGTCTCTGTATCTATGTCGGACCTTGGAACCTTCCAGAAAATACAGTTTAATATAAATAAGCTGTGTTCTTTTGTCTGTTTTACCTGGAGAACCAAGAGTTAAACCTTCTGCTTTTGTTTTTTTGTTTATTTTTCATAATAAATTATTTCTCCTTTATCCTTTCAAATACTCTCCTTTAAAAAACAAAACTTCCTATACATTCATCAAGAGGACATGAGGCTGGCCTGTTCTTAGTCATCGTCTTCAGCGGCAGGCTGTGTAACTGAAAAGCTGCACTCTGCTACTCACCAGCCTCCTGGTGAGCACTGGGAGTTGTATTCCTTAAATCATCAGTATGGCCTTTTTTGGGGTGGGGTGACAACTTTTTCTTTTTAATGAAATTAACTTCTCAAAAATTTGAGGTATTAAATGGACAACTTATGTGATAAGCACTAAGTTGATGAGTATATGGCGATTGTAGAAGTGTGTATGTGATTATTATGTGTTTGTGCACATGTGTATGGGCCATGTGTCAGGAATGCTTGCTCAGGCCTGTACTCTGGAGGCGTGAGGAGGATTCTGGGTACCCTGCACTGTCGTGCTGTCCCTCCGTCTCTTGAAGCTGGAGCTAGGCTGGTAGCCAGCAGGTGCTGGAGATCCTCCTGTCTCCATTCCCACTCTGTTGGAGTTACAGACTTGTGTGTGGCTGGGCCTGGATTTTTATGTGTGTTTCAGGGAACTCAGGGCTCTGTGCTGGTGTGGCAAGCCACTCTTAGCCCCTGATCCACACCCCAGCCGAAAATAAGGCCTTTGAAACTAAGTTTAGGGCTGGGGAGATAGCTCAGCTTGTAAAATGCTTGCTGACCAAGAATGAGGACCAGAGTTCAGATTCCCAGAGGCTTTGTGACTGACTGTGCATGGTGGCTTGCTGTACTTTCAGCACTTGTAAAGAAAGTGGCCACGAGATCCCAGGAGCTGGTTGGCGAGCCCAGACTAGCCGTGTTAGTGAGTGAGAGGCCCTGCTCCAGCAAACATGATGGAGAGGGCTGCAAGACGGACGGCAGCCTGGGCTGCCGTGCATGCCCACCACACGCGTGCTGGTACCACAGACACACACAGAAGGGTGGGGCCAAGTCTGTAACAGGCCACACTGTTACAGTTTGCTGTAATCATGAACTATGTAGCTTACACTTAAGATCAAAAAGTCTGGTAAGCATTTAGATCTAATTGTAGGGATTTGCAGCCAAATACAAGAAGGTTAGTTGAAGACTAGAAAATTTGGATCCTGCTTAGGAGTCTGTTTACTGCATGGAAGACCTCTTAAGCGTACTATGGCTTGGTCAGTCTTTCTACTTCGTTATCTAAAGATGTTCACACCTTTAGTCCCAGCACTCAGGAGGCAGAGACAGGCATATCTCTGTGAGTTCGAGGCCAGCCTGGTCTACAGAGCGAGTTCTAGGACAACCAAGTCTACACAGAGAAACCCTATCTTGGGCAGGCGGGGGGGGGGATATTTGTGGAGAAGCTAAGGTAAGAGAATAATATGTTGTTAGTATTTCGTTCTATTGGCACGAAGTTTAAAAAACGGTGACAGAGACAGAGGCAGTCGTGTTTGCTCATCCTTTGGAGTACATACGGACGTCGGAGGCTAACTTCCAGGAACTGGTTTTCACCTTCCACCATGTGAGTGCTGGGACTGTGACTCAGGTGGTTGAGTTCGGGAGCAGATCCCTTTACCCACTGAACAGTCTTGCTGGCCCCAAATTGGAGGTTTGTAAGTACAACATCTCTGGGGGTCTGAGATTTGAAGGAAGAGTCATGTATACATACATACATACATACATACATACATACATACATAAATACATACAAACATATAAACCTCTGCAACAATTTTAGGAGTTATTTTTGAATGACAAAAAAGCATCCAAGTAGTAATAAGTTTATATAGACCAGATTATATGCAAGGTAATATTAAAGTGTACTTTTAGACTTTCAAATGTATCTATTTTCCATTTGAAAATTTGTAGGTCTGCAGTGAAGTTTACATGCAAATTAATTTTTACAATCCTTACTGTCTCTCTGTCTTACAGTAACAAGGACAATTCAGCATCTGTTTTCCAAGCTGTCCTCATATTGGCAGTGAGATAAAGCAGGGTCTAAGGAGCTGTGCAGGGCCTGTGTTCTTGTTGTCACTTTTTTCCTTCGGTCTGTTGGAAAGTCTGCATCTGTACTGTTCCTAAATTTTACAGGCTCGCTCTTCTGCCTGAGCTGCTACCAGCACAGCTAATGTTTTTGCTGCCGTACCATGCCATGGCCAAATCCCTCATAGTTGCCTTTCAGTTAAGGAGGTAGTTCTTTGTCATCTGTATATAGGTGTTTCTTCACTTGCCTAATCACACCAAAACCTGATTCCTTGTATTTTAATTTCCTGCAAATATCTCATAGCACCCTTGTTTTCTTGTGTAGCTAAATATGTTTGTGACTCTTTAATCCATGTATTTCTTCTGTAATTATGATACAGAATTGTAATAGAACTTTAGAACTTAAAATTGCTTGAGTCCGGTATGCCATTTTGATCTGGAACTCTTAACACAGACTCCTAATAACTGAGCTGAGTGTAGTTTCCTTTCACATTCTACTACTCTTACCAGTGTCATCATGAAGGCCTCTGTCACCACCACCAACACTACTCCCAATGTATTTGACTATTTAATAATCACTTTTTATATAGTTGGTCCTGTTGGGATGCAAACAAAACCTGCAAAGCTAGGGGCAGTGGTGAATGCGGCTGGCCCCACCAACCCTGAGGCCTCCCTGGAAGCATCCATTCTTCCCTCCTTCTCTTCCTCTTTTCTTGAATTCTGTAGTTTGTTTTTAATGGTGAATTAGGATTTTTCATTGAATTCAACAGAATCCATTTAACTCAGCCTGACCCGTTGCTGGAGCATTCAGTGGGGAGTGGACACAGAACAGTCCTGATAGAAGCCAGGAAACAGCTCCTAAGCTAACACTTGTTTTAAGTTATGGGCCGGTTAAGAATAGGCAGAAACCTTTGCAGTTTTTTTTTTTTAATTTTTTATTTAACTTTTTAAAATTACACTTTATTCATTTTGTATCCCCCTATAAGCTCCTCCCTCCTCCCCTCCCGGTCCCCCCTCCCCCCCCTTTCTGCATGCATGCCCCTCCCCAAGTCCACTGATAGGGGAGGTCCTCCTCCTTTCTGATCTATCAGATCTCATCAGAAGTGGCTGCATTGTCAGGGTTCTAGGTTATCTCCATGAATAGTCCTTGTTTGGATTACGAGTCTCTGGGAACCTTTGCAGTTTTTGAAAAGATTTCTTATGTGTATGGGCATTTTGTGTGGATGTGTTTCTGTGTACGGTGTGCATGTGTGTCTGTGTGTGTGTGTGCAGTGTGCGTGCAGTGCGGTGCCAGTGGAGGCCAGAAGGTTCCCTGGAACTGGAGTTACAGATGGTTGTGAGTCTCCATGTGTTCTGGGGCTTGAACCCAGGGCCTCCCTCTGCCCATGAAAACCTTTTTACTATGGCCAAGGATGGCTCCCAGAAAGCTTCAGCAAACATACAGGCTCCAGACAATGCTGCTGAGAGGCAACTCACCCTGAGAATCCTTAGGAAAAGACACTTAGACATTTCAGGCAGGGTGATTATGAAGGCAACATCCCCAAGCAAAGCTTTTACTGGTGGTCTTAAAATAGGTAGTTTTGAGTGGTTCCCCCATGGAAACTAACTTTCTACTGGTGTTGGCCGGTGGAAAAATTAAAATTCCACTTAGAACAGAAAGCTGAACTATATGGGAGTCAGGAGTAGCATATGAAACAAACTACATATTTTAATGAAACCAACCTATATTCCTGTCTATTAAAAATTGATGGTCTATATGTCAGTTTGTTTCAAGTGGATTATTCAGTTTACATTCTAGTTATTTTAATATAGACGATGGATAAAAGTTAAAAATAACAGTGGCTTATGGAAGGTTGAACTATCTGAGGGGTTGGGGCCACCTGCTGTTCTTGAAGAGGACCTGCAGCCCCTTGGCAGCCTCCACAGATGTCTGTAACTCCAGTTCCAAGGGGTCACTCCATCACCTTCTGGCCTCTGCAGGCATGCCACACACAAGTGGCAGACACATGCTGGCAAATCCACATGTCAAGGCAGTCTTGAGAAGTCTGCGTAGGTAACACAGGGCAAATGGCACAAGAATGAGTCAGATTGAGTACCCCTCTCCCCCTTAGCTTGCTGTGCATCCTGAAAGCCTGAGTCTGGTCACCAGTGAAGAGGGAGAAGAGGAATAAGGTGCCCTGCATTCCCCGGGGAGTGTTCTTTGTCAGCCCTGTGTGAAGCAGCCACATGAACTGCCTGGGAGCCGCCATGGAGGGGAGGGCTTCAGGTGAGACATGAGGAGTTCTGTTGTGTAACTGCCTGGGGAGATGTGCATGAATGCCACTTAGGGCACTGAAGACAGATCAAAGAAATGATTTCGCCCAAGTCTACCTCAGTGATTGTAGCAGGGTTGTTCACTAGAGTGTAACTCAAGGCAGCTGGATCAGCAGAAACCACCCCAGCATGGGTGGCCACTCAAGAAGCCTGCGTCCCTGGGGCTTCCCCACCAGCCTGTTGGCAGTGTGGTCCAGCAAGTCTCCCTCCATCAACTGTTCATCGCTCAGATGACCCTGGGGAGGGCCCCTGTGAGTGCTGTGAGATTCCCAGCTTCCTCTCTGGAGGAAGGATGCTTCAGGATGGAGGCAGTGGCTACCCAAGGACTTCTTTGAGAAGGACAGACAGGACCACTCAGGTCAAAGCAGCTGCAACTGGCCCGGAAATTCATGTGCAGAGACAGTTTACTAAGCACCGAGGACAAGGTAGCTTACAGTTTACAGTAGAAAATGGTACAGTAAGGACTTACAAGGACACGTGTCTGTGTTAGGATCATTTGAGGGAGATAGCCTAGGAAGGAGCTGAAGACACTGGGATGCCTACATCACAATGCACAGACTTCAGGTACCTCGAGAGGGCAGACAGCAGTGCTAAAATAAGGGCTTCAGAAACTGACTTCTGGT